ATGGTTGAAATTTCACTAAAAATTTATAAAAACATTATTCATAACTATTCATCAAATTTATCTAAAAGAAAATCTAATAATATTAACTAATATCTAATGAACTAATTAATAATAATATGTAACGGTTTAAATTTTAAAAAAATATATATACATAAAATATATAAAAAATAATAATACTACTTAAATTTTACTTATCACTGATTGATCCACTAGACTGCAACAAGAAAACTGTGTTAAACTGCTTCAAAGGGAAGAATGGAGGAAAGAGGAGCAAGAGCAACCGGGACAAGAGGAAAATGAAAATGAAAGGAGACAGACCAAAATGAAAGCAGAAGGGCGGGTCGGCAGGGCAATAGGGAAGCTTACCGACGAAACCCACATTGCTACAGTCTAAAGCCGCTCATCTCTGCATTACATCAGGATTCTCGTTGACTGGACAATCACCGACGAGCATCAAGTTGGCAATGGACCTCTTACCGACCTATATCTTATCGGTAAACAAAGTAAAAGCTGCAACACCAGTGGCCACCAGCCGGATTCGCGGGGAGTTGCTGAATGGCAAATTACCGACAAGCACTATGTCGAAAATTTCATCAAAAAGCTGCACCCCTGACGCAGGCAACCAGCTGGTTGGCGGGGGGGTGCATTGGGAGTGGAAATTACCGAGAAGATGGACGTTGGAAATTGATCCTCAATTACCGACGAGACTGTCATTCCAAAATTAAATTTACAGGCGTACTTCTCGTCGGTGATGTGCCTATCCGTCCTTCCCCCACCAGCCGGAGTGTTGGTTGCAATTACCGACAAGTAACACGTATGTATTTTAGTAAATTACCGACGAGTGTTACGTCTGTACAATAAATAATATATCTTACTGCCATTTTTACTATTTCTCAAGTTGCAGACTTAATTCTTGTCGGTAAATGGATGCTTCACCGAGAAAACTTCTTACCTCGGTGATATGTGGTCGGTGAAGCTCGGTTTTCTTGTAGTGCATGCCGTTTATTCATCAGCAAAATCAGAACTAAATAGCAAAAGTTACCATCCGAATTGATTTTCCTAGCTGGATTTCAGGCTAAATGAAAGCTTTGAGCCCTCGAACTTACATGGATGTTAGTTTTAAGCCCTTGAACTAAAAATGCAGCATTTAAGCCCCTAAACTACACAAACTTGTCCTTGACCCCTTACTAACGGTAGAACGTTAATTCACCATTTATTTCCTGCCAAGTGGCTTTTGGTTAAAGAAAAAAGGAACAATTGAAAATTTGTCCTTAAACTTCTCAAATTTCTTTTAAAATAAGTCTTTAAAATTTACAAAAATTTATCAATCTAACCTAAAATAAATTACAGATTGAAATTCTAAAAAACTAAAATACCCATCTAGCTAGTTGATTACAAATGAAAAGGAAATAAAAAATAAGACAACAAAGACGTTATTTTTTCTTCTCTATCAAATGCTAAGAAGTCAAAAAGGAGAAAATTTTTTTATTTAAAAAACCCTTTATTATTTTCACCAATGACTTTTTTTATTTAAACACCTAAAGCAAATTAATTAAAATTATTTAAATAATTTTACAAATATTTTTCCTTTTTTTTTCTTACAAATTTACCAGAACAAAAACACTTTTCTATTTATAATTCTTACTCCTACAACATCATTAAATAATTTCTAAATATTATTCTCGAGTAATGTATTGAAATATGTTATCCTCGCTCCACGTCATCACCCATAGGCCTATAAATAACAGTAGATCTTTCAATCTGACAAAATATTCTCCAGAAGTAACAAAATGAAGATTATTCCTACAAAACACTTGTTCCATTTTTCTTGCCTTCTTGTTTTTTGCAGGCTGCTCTTGCTGGAGTTGGCATTGGCTCAAAACACGACGGCTACCGCAACCATTCCAGTGAGTGTGGGTGTGGTTCTTGACATGCATATGTGGGTTGGGAAGCTGGGGGTGAGTTGTGTAGTGGTGGTAGACAGAGGTCATGAGATATCAGAGGTATGTGGATAGTTAGAGGTCATGAGGTATCAGAAGCATGCTGGTAGACAGAGGTCAGAGATATCAGAGGTATGTGGGCAGTCAGAAGTCACGTACCTCACAACTGTCTGAGGTGCATAACCTCGGACGGCCGGAACCGCTCCCAGCATTTAGCTACCTTGACTTGATTGAGGAGCAACGAGCTCGGTCGAATTCGAGCTCGTCCCCTCTGTTCCCGCTCCACAGTAGCTCTGTATGCACACAAATTCCTCATGAGAAATACTTGCGATGGTTGACACGCATTGCCCTGGTTTCTCGAAAGGATCAATACATGGACACTCCCTTGAAGGCCTATAAATACCCCCCAGGGGCCACATCAAAAAAGTACTTGAAACCGACCTCAAGCTTAGCTCTTACTCTTGCTCCATAATTGGTAGCTTTGATTATTGCTAACTTAGGCATCGGAGTGTCTACCCCGAGGACCGACATCGGGACCTTGCAGGATAATCGAAGTGAAGACCTGAGATCCAGAACATCCCCCAATTCTCTGTAACTACATTGGCTCTGTCTGTGGGAAGCCGAGCTAAAAGCCTTGCCAGAAGCCGCTACGATGGTTAATATGCACTCAACGCAACATGGAAGCCCCAAACAGGGTTGAGGAAGAAGTCAATTCCTCAGTGAAAATCCTATGTCTCATATTGTGCCACCCCTTGTAGTCCAACATCAGCATGTGGAAGGAATTGGAGAGAATAACCCGCACTCAGCAGAAATCCCAAATGATCCTATAACCACCCAGCTCAATGTTATGCAACAACAATTCAGTGTGTTTCAGCTTGTGCTTGCACAATTGCTAGCCAGAGATAACCCAAGTGACCCCTTCATCACCTTATTAAACCCAACTAACCAAGCACCCAATCACCAGCCTCAGCAAAATGTCAATTCACTAGCCTGAACAATCGTCCCAGCCCAAAGTGAATCCCAAGGCCACTCCCACATGGCACCTCCACCTCCACAACCACCTTAGCCAGTTGTCTCAGATGTTTCCAAGAGGCTAGACAACCTAGAAAGAATGGTGGTCAAGAACTGAAATCCCCAACCTCCGGCTCAGCCCAGTTCCACCCCAATCCCAACCCCCTTTAATACCAACATCATCCAAGAACCATACCCCTCTAGATTCAGAATGCCTCAGTTTGAGACATACGATGGCACTAAGGACCCTGATGACCACTTACACGCATTCTGCTCCGTTATGCAAGTTAAGAAAGCCTCAGATGCCTTAATGTGCAAAATATTCCCTTCTACATTGCGTGGAAACGCTCGGACTTGGTACTACAATGTGCAGCCGAACTCAATCAGCTCCTACGCCGAGCTGGCGGCATCTTTTACAACGAAGTTCTCAAGTCGTTGACTGATTAGAAAGACGACCTCCGAGCTCATGTGGGTGGCCCAAAGAGAAGGTGAATCTCTGAAGAACTACATGAATAGATTCAATGATGCAGTACTGGAGATCGGCTCATTTAATCAGGCTGTGGGACTAGCCGCCATAATCCAAGGTCTTAAGCATGAGAGGTTCCGAGATAGCCTAATAAAGCACCCCCTACCACGTTTGATGAAGCTAATGAAAGACCTTGGAAGTTTATTCAAGCCGAGGAATACACCTTATCCGGCAAGCCAACTCCAAGTAAAGAGGTCAGACCTTCGACGTGGAGAGATGACAGGCAGAACAAGAGATTCAAAGCCACTCATAACCGAGGTCCATTCCCAACTAAAATTGATAGGCCCACCTCGAATACCCCACAACCTATGACAAAACAAATCACTTGGACTCCATTCACGTTGCCGAGGTCACAGATTTTAATGCAAATCAAGCATAAAATGGAGCTTAGAAAGTCCCTACCTATGCGGAGTTCACCTACCTCTAGGGATCATAGCAGATATTGTTACTTCCACCGAGATCACAGACACACCACGGAGGAATGTAACAGTATGAAGTCCAAGCTCGAGGGTTTGCTCGAAAAGGGATGCTAAATGACTACATCTTCAGCAAGGACCAGCTTAAGTTCGTCCGAGAACAGGGACGACCTCAAGGATCTTGGGATGCAAACAACAGAACTGGAGTTGGCTACCAGCAAGCACAACCCCCTCTCCTTCCATCATCATGCATCATCCACATGATAACTGATGGGCTAGAAGCCGGAGGGACGAGCTCAAAATAGCAGAAGTTGTATGTGAGGGAGGTGAAACACCAAAATCAAGCTCAGAAAAGGAAATTTGATGAGGCAGACTAGAAGAACCAACATATAACCTTCAAGTTAGCTGATTTTGATGGTGTTGTCACACCACACAATGATCCACTTGTAACCTCGGTCATCGTCAATAATTGCGAAGTTCAGCGCGTCCTTGTAGACACAGGAAGTGCTCCGGACATCATGTACTATCACTGCTTCAAAAGCCTTGGCCTTGACCCTACTTTCTTACAGAAGTATGATGGCCCCATCTACAGATTCAATAATCAACCAGTGCCTGTGGAAGGAATCCTCAAACTCGATGTAGCATTTAGTTTAGGTCCGACGTATGTAACTCCCTCAGTTCAATTCTTGGTAGTGAAGATGGCATCATCTTTTAACATCGTCATCAGAAGACCAACTCTGACTGAGATTCGAGCTGTTGTCTCACAATCCCATCTTTGCATGAAATTCCCTACCCCCATGGAGTGGCGATTTTGAAAGGCAATCAAGAGGGAGCTAGGCACTGCTACATGACTTCGGTCTCCAAACCTTGGAGGGATAAGCAAGTAACCAACCCAGAGCCGGCTCAATTTGAAGTCCGAACTACACAGCAGGTAATGGGTGTAGAATTGTCGGATAACAAACCTGAGGATGAAGCCAGAGCCATTCCAACAGAAGAGGTGGAAGAGGTACAGCTCGACGACAACAATCCCACTAATAAGACACAGATTGGGACCAAGCTGAGCTCGAAAGAACGAGCAGAGCTCATTAGCTTTTTGAAGTTGAATAGAGATGTGTTTGAATGGACCTCAGCTGATATGCTGGGCATACCCACCTCGGTCGCAATACATAAATTAAGAACTCATCCTTTGAAGAAGCCCATAACACAGAAGAGACTTTGGCAAAGAAAGGCTGGAAACAATCAGGGCAGAAGTACAGAAACTCTTACAGACAGGGTTTGTAAGAAGGGTAGATTACTGTGAATGGATCGCTAATCCTGTTCTAGTCAAGAAGTCGAATGGCAAATGGAGAATGTGTATTGATTACACAAATTTGAATGAGGCTTGCCCAAATGACTGTCATCCTTTGCTGAGTATAGATAAGCTGGTGGAAGCTGCATCCGGAAATGAAAGACTTAGCCTTTTAGATGGTTACTCGGGATATCAACTCCACATGGCACCCGAGGACGAGGTGAAGACCTCCTTCTATGCAGGTGACGAGATCTATTGCTATATAATGATGCCATTTGGGCTCAAGAACTTTGGGGCTACAAATCATAAGATGGTGACGATTGTGTTCCAAGCTCAGATAGGTAGGAATCTAGAAGTCTACGTTGATGACATAGGGGTTAAGAGTCTCAAGGTAGAGGATCACCTAGCCGACTTGGCAGAAACATTTAACAACCTAAGGAAACACAACATGAGGTTGAATCTAGTCAAGTGTGTCTTTGGTGTTGAATCAACAAATTCATGGGATTCATGGTCTCCAGGAGAGGGATAGAGGTCAATCTTGAGAAGATCAAGGCAATAGAAGAGATGAAGCCACCGTAGTCAATTAAGGATGTGCAGCGCTTAGTTGAGAGAGTAAGAGCTCTGTAAAGTTCATATCGAAGTCTGTAGATAAATGTCTGCCTTTCTTCAAAATCCTGAGATTCGTGGCCTAGAAAGACGAAGCAGGGAAGCCCGACCTCAGAGTGTCAAATTGCCTTTGATGAACTCAAGTCGTACCTCGGCTCACCACCTCTATTAACTAAGGCCGAAGAAGGTGAAATCCTTTATCTCTACCTCGGGATATCTGATGCAGCAATAAGCTCGATCTTAGTCAGAGAAGCAAGGAAACAATAGAAGCCAGTATACTATGCCAGTAAGGTGCTATAAGGAGCTGAACTGAGGTACTCCATTGTAGAAAAAGCAGCTCTAGCAGTGGTCACCACAGCAAGGAAGTTGAGCTCACCCCAGTATTATATTAACCGATCAACCCCTGAGACAGATCTTGCAAAAGCTGGAATGCTCGAGCAGACTTATCAAATGGGCAGTGGAGTTAGGAGAATTTCAGATAACATTCCAACAAAGGTTGTCAATTCGGGCTCAAGCCTTGGCAGACTTTATTGTAGAATGCACATCAAGTTATGAAAGTGTTGATTCTGAGGTTGAGCTATGGACCCTCTATGTGGATAGGTCATCAAGCAATAGAGGGTCGGGTGCTGGAGCGGTGTTGATGGGGCTAGGGAACTTCCGAAGTGAGCACGCCCTAAAATTCAATTTCGAAGCAACAAATAATATGGTCAAGTATGAGGCACTTCTCCTAGGGCTTCGCTTAGCAGCGAAGCTTAAGGTCAGATCCCTGCAAGTTGATAGTAACTCACAACTTGTAGTCAACCAAGTGAACTCTACATGTGAGGTCACAGACCCTACCCTAGCCAAATCTCTAGCCGTGGTTTCAAAAATCAAAAGCCAGTTTGAAAGATTTCAACTAACGAAAATCTCGAGGTCAGAAAATGAACATGCTAACTCACTGTCAAAATTAGCCTCTAACAGCTCAAGTGGACTGAGGTTAGTCTTTATTGAAGTTTTAGCTGAACCGAGCTTTCAGAGGTCAAAGGTGATGGAGGTTAGTACCGATCCTGAAACCCCCAATTGGACCGATCCCATTAAAGCTTATCTCTGGGATGAGACTGTCCCCAATGACAAACGAGAAGAGATGAAGTTGCGAAGGAAGGCATCGCGATACACCTTGGTGGATGGTATCTTGTATAAGAGATCATACTCACTTCCTTTTCTTCGCTGTTTAACCCCTTATGAGGCCAAGTATGCTCTTTGCGAAGTGCATGAAGGTGTATGTGGGAATCAAATCGGAGCTCGAACCCTAACCCACAAGGTACTTCGACAAGGATACTACTGGCCTAATATGCAAGAAGATGCCAAGAAGCATGTCCATAAATGCTAGAAGTGCCAATTCTTTGCACATCTCACCCACCAACCAGCGGAAGAACTTACTACTTTGGTGTCACCGTGGCCTGTTGCACAGTGGGGGATTGACCTTCTAGGTCCTTTTATCAAGGGTGCAGAAGGAGTAACACACCTAGTCGTGGTAGTTGACTACTTCACAAAGTGGGTGGAAGCTCGACTTCTTTCTAACTTGACCTCGAGAAAAATTGAAGACTTTGTTTTCAGCTCAGTTATGTGCAGATATGGAATTCCAAATCAAGTCGTTGCAGACAACGAACCTCAGTTCAACTATACCTCGTTCAAAGATTTCTGTTCCAGCTATTGGATAAAGTTGGTTTTCACTTCTGTTTATCATCCTGAGGCAAACGAAATGGTTGAGTCTGTCAACAAAGCCATCTTGGAAGGGATTAAACTGAGGCTAGATCAAGTCAAAGCCAAGTGGGCAGACGAGCTCAACAATGTTCTATGAGCTTACCAAACTACGAGTCGAACAGCCACATGTATGCAACTCAACTTGCTTTTTATTCTCTTTTGATTTGAAGCTATTACTAGCTATATGAAATAAATCCTAAAATTACAATTCCTCCTAATTAGCCAAAACGCCCTACCACTTGGCTTTTGGGACCGACGCAGTCAGTCTTGTCGAAATGGGCATCCCGAGCCTAAGAGTGACCCATTTCGACGCAACACGAAATGAGCAGTTACTTAGAGAAATCTCGATTTCTTAAACGAAGTCTGTGAACAGGCTCGACTTCAGACATTAGCTTATAAGCAGAAGCTGGCCAACTCATACAATAGACGAGTTCAACCTCGAACTTTTAGAGTTGGTCACCTCGTCCTTAGAAAGGTAGGACTCACCGGCTTCGAAACACGTTTCGCAAATTGGCGCTGAACTAGGAAGGCCCATATGTAATAGTCGAAATACCACACCTCGGCGCTTATATACTTGTAGACATTGAGGGTAAAAGAGTTCTTAGGGTTTGGAATGTAAATAACTTTAGGAAGTTTTATCCTTAATGAAACTTCGTTTTACTCAAATTTTTAAGTTCTGAATTTGAAATCAAAAGTTTACCTCTACCTCGACTTTAATACAGTTATATTTATGATCTCTTATCCTTAGAGGTCAAAAAGTTAGTATTTTTGGACTGTTGTATTAGTTGCTAGTTCATTACAATTTCAACGTCAGAAGTCATTTTAAGGCTAGAACAATAAACAACATAAATTTTCAAAATTCCAATTCATTAATTCGAACTGAAATACAAACTGTTCTTAAAACAAAATAAAAATAACAAAAATACAAAGGGATGAGCTGGCCGAGCTCAGTCGATGATCTAGAGCTGTTAGTCCACTTCTTCATCTCGCACGTTGTCAGCCACCTCAGTTCTCGGTGCCACCTCGGCCTCGTCCTCGTTAATAGCGACAAGCTCAAAGTCCAAAGTAGGAGGAAGGATAGTTTTTCCAGCCTCATCCCGTTCCCAAGTCAATTTAACCTCAAGACGGAACTCCGCTGTCTTACTATCCCCATTCTCCTCTACCCCTGCCTCCTCAAGGCCAAACGTGATGTTTGTCATGTCCACCTCCGGATTCTGCGACTTCACCTTCTTACGACTTCACCTTCTTACGACAGTCAGTGAAGGCCATCACCAGAGTCGGCAAACGGTAGAGGTCCACCACCTTGGCAAATGTGGGAGACTTGATGAAGTCTGAAAAGTGCTGCTCCACAGAGTTATGGATCGCCAACTCGGCTGCCTTTTTCACCTCGGCTAGCTTGCTATCGCTATCCCTCCTCGCACTTCTTCCTCGTTTGCTCCTCTAGCTCAGCAGCCCTCTTGGAAGTAGCCAACTCCTCCCTGACCTTTTCTAGCTTCGAGGTCAGATCACCGAAGTTCTTCTCCGCCTCCTCCTTTTGGCGGCTGAGCTCTTCGTACTTCTTAACCAAAGCAATTCACTCTTGGAGGCAATCGAAGAACTCAACTTCCATTGCATTCACCAAGTTTGCAGTCTACAGCAGAGGCAGAAGTTTAAAAAAAAAAAAAGAAACCGAAGGATGAATGAGCTAAACTTAATGTAGAGCAAAACTTACCTCCAGGGCTTGCCGAACTACCCCTGAACCCCCATTACTGGCCACCTCATCCCTCCCAGGCGCCACCACTTCTACCTCTCGAAGTGATGGGTCAATTTGCACGGGGGGAGGCTGAGGTACGAACTCAATAGGAGCCTCGATTTGCAGAGGCTGCACCTCCTCACCCTTGGCCTCTTCCGAGCGGTGACTTCTTCCGTTGAACCCTTCCTTGGCTCCGAGCTGGGCCCCACCTCAACCCGAGGTCCACCACCAAGGTGAGGTCTTGAAGTCCCACCCCTAACTCGTTCCTCTTGAGCACCCGAAGCTGACGCATTTGACCTCTTCTCCGGAAGTTGCACGGCCTTGCCCCCATCTCTTAAGTGATTCATTCCTCTGCAAAACAAAATAGAGTTAAAAATTGCAATCAAACTCTTACTCTAAAAAAAAATCTAACTTTAGTTAACACAGACCTCTGCTCAACGAGCTCCTCCCATAGATTCCAGACGACTCCACCACCTCTGGACTGGTGAGGTACATTATGTTCGTCAGCTCCCCCCCACCCCTCTCCAACATCTCCACTTTGTCTTTCTCCACCTCCCTCAGCCGGTACTGATTCGGATTCCTCCTCTTCCCCTTCCACCTATTGAGCTCCTCTACTTCCCCATCCCCCCTCCCCCACTCCGCATCATTAACAAAGAAAAACTTCTCTTTCCACCCCTTAATGGAGAAAGGACCTGCTGTGAACAGATTCCTACTCCTACCTCCAACTACCTGGGGTATGAAATAAAACCAGCCCTTCTCCTTCCCACTACCCCCCTTAATTATAAAAAAAAAATACTTAAATAAATCTACTGTGGGGATAGAAACACCCCGAAGTTGGCAGTAGACCAAAAATCCCACCACCAACTGAACTCCATTTGGGACGAGTTGTGTCAACCCTAACCCATACTCCTTTAGCAGTGCTACCAGCAACTCCGGAATGGGAAATTGGAGCCCAACTGCTAGGTAGTGCACATATAGCAGCATCCAATGATCTTTTAGAGCCGAACACGCCCGTTCCTCACTTCCTACTGGCCTCACCAGCACATGAGGGGGGATGTTATAATTCTCCACTAAGTGCCCCAGCTCCCCCCTACTCCTCCAGCACGAGTTATACCCTCTCACCTCCCCCACTACCTTTTCCCTCTCGTCATAACACCTCGCTCGACTGCCACCAACTTCTAAAATGGTAGTTGGGACAATGCTATCCTCCTGACCCCCATTGGCCCCACTAATAGAGGTCATACCCCCACTTTTCCCACTAAAGCTTGAGCTCGAGCTCCAACTAAAGCTTCTCACTTCCTCTCCCCCTCCAACACTTAGTGTTTCTTCAGAAGACATCTCCGATATCACAATTTTCACTACAAGAAGTATGTTATAAATAATGATCAGAATCACCTACAATCTCTATCCTTTACTACCCCCCTTCCTATTGAACATCTAACCTCCCTTACTGACTTTTCTAAAATAAAACAAATTACTTAAGTTAGAGGTATAACTCAGAGTTACCTAGTTTTCTAAATGCCGAAGTACAATACTTGCACAAATGCTCTGACAACTATCACGATCTCTGCAATAGTCAGCTCGGAGGACGAAGTGCTCTCTCGCAATTTTGACAAGGCTTCGCTATAAATTCAACAAGGTAAAATTATGAATAACTCAAGGCCGATTATTTATACTCAGCCTTCCCCCCGTTTTGACGGTCACGATCACTCACGTTCAATGGCCACAATCGCGTCCTTTTGAATTCGGCAGTTATTCTTGGCAACATTTATTATAGCACGGCACGCGAGGACAACTGTCACCCCAAATTAAATTATTTTATTATATTCTATTTTATTTTATTTCGTTCTCACTTCAAGCTCCTTCAAATGGATTACACGTTAGTTATTTCTCGAACAATGTTCACTCATGCTACTTTTCACTTCGGCTCCGACTGTACCCCATGACCACGTGTCATGATACTTTCACTTCGGCTTTGGCCGTACCCCATGACCACGTGTCATGATACTTTCACTTCGGCTCCGGCCGTACCCCATGACTATGTGTCATGCTACTTTTTACTTCGGCTCCGACCGTATCCCACGACCACGAGTCATGCTACCTTTCACTTTGACTCCAACCATACACCATGGTCTTGTGTCACTCCATTCCCACTTCGACTCCGTCCGTGCACCATATGATTTGGAATCATGTTCACATTTGAACCTCCGCTTTTCAGCACTTGACCCCATGCCATGATATCCACCCCTCAACTCAACACCAACATAGACTCCGGTATCATTCACAAGTGAATGACTTCATGGGGGGGAATAGTGTAGTGGTGGTAGACAGAGGTCATGAGGTATTAGAGGTATGTGGTCAGTCAGAGGTCATGAGGTATCAAAGGCATGCTGGTAGACAGAGGTCATGAGATATTAGAGGTATGTGGGCAGTCAGAGGTCACGTACCTCACAGCTGTCTGAGGTGCATAACCTCGGACGGCCAGAACTGCTCCCAGCATCTAGCTACCTTGACTTGATTAAGGAGCAACGAGCTCGGTCGAATTCAAGCTTGTTCCCTCTGCTCCTGCTCCACAATAGCTCCGTATGCACACAAATTCCTCATGAGAAATACCTGCGATGGTTGACATGCATTGCCCTGGTTTCTCGGAAGGATCAACACGTGGCCACCCCGTTGAAGGCCTATAAATACCCCCCAAGGGCCACCTTAGAAAGGTACTTGAAACAACCTCAAGCTTAGCTCTTACTCTTGCTCCATAATTGGTAGCTCTGATTATTACTAACTTAGGTATCGGAGTGTCTACCCCAAGGACCAACCTTGGGGCCTTGTAGGATAACCAAAGTGAAGACCCGAGATCTAGAACATCCCCCAATTCTCTACAACTACAAGTTGCATCAACATGACCCTGCAAGAATTTTATTCCTACCACATTAACTACACAACCAGATTGGTTTTAAACATAAGGGATTCCAAGGGAGATGTTGGGGCGGCTGCTGCCGGTGCGGCCTCTTTCTTCTCTTTGTTCCTCTTTTTCCCCTCTGCATTCATTTTTAGTGAATATATATTCCTTCTCACATAATACAATACATATGAATTAGACTTTTTTGGAAATAATTTCAGTTTAAGTCTCATTCTTTTTAATGAGTTTGAACGTGAACTTAAAATTTTTTGTTACAAACTAATGATATTTTTTGAGTGTGACAATATATAATGTAATTTCTTCCATTTTTTGAGTTCCAAGCAGTAAAAAATTGTTAGTTCAGATTGAAACTTGCCAAATGCCGTTTTCTCATCAGCAAAATCAGAACTGAATAGCAAAAACTATCGTCCGATCGAACTAATTTTGCTAGCCGGTTTTTAGGCTAATCCTTTAGGGCTCAAACTTACAGGGATATTAGTTTTAAGCCCTTGAACTAAAAATGCCTCATTTAAGCCCCTAAACTAAGCAAACTTGTCAAATTGACCCCTTACTAACGGTAGAACGTTAATTCACCATTTATTTCTTGCCTACTGGGTACTGGCTTTTTGTTTAAAGAAAAATGAATAAATGCAAAATTGTCCTTAAACTCCTCATATTTCTTTTAAAATAAGTTCCTAAATTTTACAAAAATTTATCAATCTAATCTAAAATAAATTACACATTGAAATCCTAAAATACTTAAATACCCATCTAGCAAGTCGGTTACAAATGAAAAAGAAATCAAGAATAAGACAATAAAAACCTTATTTTTTCTTCTCCATCAAACCTTAAGAAGTCAAAAATTAATACAAAAAACCCTTTATTATTTTCACCAATAGCCTACTTGTCTTCTTCGGTCTCAATATTGATAAGGTCCCAAACAACCTAAAAGAATCTCGTAGAAAATTGAATAATAAAAAAAAAAAGGCACTACTCAATCAACACAATTTGACTTCTTATGTTTTGATATAAGATTAAAAAGGGAAAATCTATCTACCAAACCCCCATTATGGAGGAAGTATATATCTTTTTAAATTGATAGAAGGCCAAACTAGCGTACCCATAGTCCTTAAAAACAATATATAGAGATTATCAAATCCTTAAATCAAACTTTTTATGGGTCTCAAATGATGTGGTTCATATTGTTGTAAGGTGTTATAACTATAACTATAGTTATAATTGTACTAAACTGCACTGTATTATAATTATGACTAAAATTTATTTTGATGTTGAATTATTTATTTTTTAAGAGTATTATGAATGAAATATAATAA